ATCTTTTTGTCAAAGAATCTGATGGTAAAGAGTACGAAGAGAAATGCTGGCCAGGCATGTATCTTTCTAAATTTCATAAATTTTTATAAATTTATTTTATTAACTTATATAAAAAAATAGGTAGTTCCTCGTGGGTAGATTTTACTAATCCTTCTGCTCAAGAATGGTGGAGTAAAAAATTTGCATTTGATCAATATAAGGTAAATTTATTTCATTTAATACAAGTATTATAGCCTTAATTCAGATTAAATTCAGGCATTATACATCAAGAAAATAACTATTACGCGTAACTTGATTGACTAAACTAGATAACTTCTTTGATGTACAATGTTCAAAGCTGATTGCTTTTTACCCGAACTAAGTGTACAACCTTATATTGATATATTATAATGATTTATATTTCCTTTATAAAGGGATCAACAGAAATTTTATTCACGTGGAATGATATGAATGAGGTATCATTTCTAGATAGCAGATCTAAAGTTTTTTTAATAGTCATCTAAAATAATTAACCACATGAACCTATAAACTTAAGCCATCAACATTCAATGGCCCCGAAATTACAATGCCGAAAGATCTTGTTCATTATGGAGGTTGGGAACATCGAGACTTGCATAATATTTATGGGTATTCTTTTGTGAGTTTGTGAGTTCTATGAATTACGTTTCACAGTTTTTTTTGAAAGACAAATTATTAATGCAATTGACTATTACAGCATATTGCAACTGTTCAAGGACTCATAAATCGTACCGAACCACCACGTCGACCTTTTGTACTCTCTCGATCATTTTTTGTGGGTTCTCAACGTTATGGTCCTATTTGGACAGGTGACAATGCTGCAAGTTGGGATTATTTGGCTATATCGATTCCTATGCTATTGACTATCAGTATTTCTGGGTTGCCATTTTCTGGAAGTATGTAACAATAAATAATTAGAGATTGGAATTGAATTTAATTTAGATTCGAATTTTTATAAATTGAATTTAATTAAGTTTATATAACTTCACATAAATTCAAATTTATAAATATTCAATATATATATAAATAATATCATAAGTATACATATTTATGCAATAAATAGTCATATTTATATACATTCAGGCATCAATATGCATACTTATACTAAAAAATATACAAGCATATAAAAATATAGTAGTTGTATTATATTATGAATATTCGAATTAATTTATTTATATATTTTCAATTGAATTAATTCAAATATTCAATAATCAAACATTTGATTCCAAGCTTTAGTAACAATTTGCATAAATATATTAATATTTCGTTTTTAGCTGATGTCGGTGGATTTTTATATGATCCTACGCCTGAACTCCTAGTTCGATGGTATCAAGCAGGAGCTTTTCAACCATTCTTTCGTGCACATGCTCATATAGATACAAAAAGACGCGAACCATGGTTATTTGGTGATCCATATACTAGTTATATCCGTGATATAATCAGAGAAAGATATTCTTTGTTACCTTTATGGTATACTCTATTCCACGAAGCTAGTACCACTGGAATGCCAATAATAAGGTACATAATATCTAATGATTAATAAATTTCAATCTTCCATTAATTTTATTGGTATCAGACCTATGTTTGTAGTTTATTCTGATGACGAAAAAGTTTATGAAATGGACGATCAATTCTTTGTTGGCAATTCGTTACTTGTCAAACCTATTGTAGAGGAAGGTCAAACATCTACTGAAGTTTATTTTTCAGGAAATGAGGTGAGATATTGTCAAATTTAAAGAGTTAAATTTGAGTACTAATTCAATTTTACATGATTTTTCAGATATATTATGATTATTTTACATTTGAAAAATTTTGTGGATCTAGTAAAGTTCGAATTAATGCCCCATTAAACAAGATTCCTGTCTTTTTACGCGGTGGGTCCGTTATTACAAAGCGGCAGAAAATTCGAGGTTCTTCATCGGATATGCATTTAGATCCTTTTACATTGGTGATTGCCTTAAACGAAAATGTAAGTTATATATTTATTCATTCATCTATCATCTGTCTCAATATTAAAAATATATTTTTTTCTTTTTTTAGAATGAAGCAATTGGCACTTTATATCTAGATGATGGTGAAACATATGATTATGAGAAAGGATATTTTGTTCATCGTCAATTTACATTCTCTGCTGGAAAATTGGTATCTCAATCATTGTCATCATTAGATAATGATAAAAATTTATATGCCCAGTCAATTAGTTCTGTTCATGTTGAACAAATAATAGTATTAGGACTTGATGTGAAACCTAGCAAAATTATCGCACATAATAATCGCACTGAAGATTCTGAATTACAATTTGATTTAAAATGCTTTGGCATATCTGAAGTTAATACTACTAACGCAATCGTCATAAAAGGTTCTAATATGTTGATTACTGAAGATTGGACGGTAGAATTTTTGAAATAATACCGTGCAGATACGTCTAATGATCGGTTTATCGTATCAATCACAATTTTATCGTCATTATGAAATAAAACAAAACTATAGTGAATTTAGTGTAAGTTGTTCTTTAACCTTTTTATATGACTCATGTATTTGTTAGAAGACAAATATTCGCATAAATGCCATTCTCAGTACCTATTGAGTTTTGTAGTTGTCTTCCTACTGATCTAATGAAATCAGCTCTAAAGAATTTTAATTCAGACAATATAGTATAATATATTTACAGTATAAAATACAATGCAAAGAGAAATGTTAAATTCGTGGAATATACAATCCAAGAACTATTCTATAATTCTACGTATACACGTATTGTATATCCCTTTTTTGATAAACCCGAAATATTCTGATTTTCATGAAACGATGGGGTATTCGGTCAATTATGTTTGACAAAACTATATGCGGTATCATATAAAAATTAATGAAATTTAGAAAGATACATGCCTGGCCAGCATTTCTCTTCGTACTCTTTACCATCAGATTCTTTGACAAAAAGAT